CTCTATTTTATACTCCTCCTTTGGAGCGCGCTCAGAGTAGGGACACGGGCCAAAAAGCTTTCTGAATCCCACCTCCCAAGTGTCCACGAAGTCGGAGTTGTCCGAAATGGTCAGCCCATTCTCGTCCATAGGAAAATCCCCTGAACCGGCCTGCAGAAGCAAAACAACCTGGAGTCATGGAAGAGAACAGGCACCAGCGAACGTCTGTGAGACAGCTGTGAAGTAAGTGGAATTTTCTGAGATCTTTATGAGGCCTCGTGCACCGAGCCGGTTACAGAACCGACGCCATCCCATCCTGCAATCTGGGCTGTGCGAAACCGCCTAGTCTCGAGCCACTGCGGAGGAGTTATCTGCGGTCCAGGAAGTGTCTCTGAGCACATGTGCTCCACCAGCCTGGCATCCTCCCCCTCACTGGGACTCCCGATCTGTCCGTCTGCTTGAGCGCAGGCTCAGCGCTCTCCGCTGTGAACGCAATGGGGGGGATTTTACGTGCGTCCTGAAGTGATCAACTCTCCCACGCTCGCTGGGCGATGAGGGTTTTTAAGGCCCGTCCGATACCGGAGTACGGCGGGGCTGTGTCAGGGAGACAGACGTCCTCATGGATTGATACGCTCATGGAACGGGGCTCAGCACACGCTGAGCCGGTTACAGGAGTGACATCATCACCAACCCCGCATTCTAGACAGTATACAGCTCTGCCAGGGCATTTGCTAGGAAAAGGACGCTGTGCAAGCCAGGACAACCAGGAGCGACTGGGCTTGATCTCGTCACACGTTTTAGATCACTAGGAATAACACCACCCAAGAGCTCCGTGCACTGAAAGGACAATGGAGCGTTTTAAGTCAGAGTGTGGCTGAACTCTCTTGGCTGAGGGCTGACCTCCTGTCCCAGGGGGACAAGCAGGCTGGGGGGACCCCCCCCCCCAGTGGGAAGAGGAGGGACCCAGGGGCAGCTGCAGAGGAGGAGGAGAAGGAGACATGTGCGAGGGAGAGAAGGGCATCTCGTACGGCATTGATAACTGTTTCAGGAGAGGAAAGGACGATGGCGGATTACCGACAGCCAAGCGCGACTGAATTTGGCCGCCGTCTTCCCTCCTGAACTTTCGTTATATAAACCCCACAGAGCAAGCACCGTCCCTGCCGCGGGTACCGTTAGCCTTAGTTTGGACGGCGCTGTTGGAAAGTTTTTCTCCCCGCGGGGGGTGTGGACCTGGAAGAACGTGGTCCAGCTACGAGGTCAGAGGTCAGAGGTCGCGGCGGACCCGTCACCTTGAAGCCCATGGGCCAGTGAACCAGGTACAGGTCCAGGTAGGCGAGCTTCAGGTCGGCCAGCGTCTTCTGACAGCCCTCCTTCACCAGCTGCTTGTCGTGGAAGGTGCACCAGAGCTGTGAGGAGGAGACGGGGGGGGGGTGTCAGAGGGGCCCCCAGCTGTGTGACAGTTCTGATCCATGCTTTAATGGGTCACTTCTAAACACCCTCTCACGGTGACAACAGAGGCTGGTCAGAGCTGTGGTCAGACCATCAACCTTCCTGCAGGACTGCTTGGACTGCTTCAGAGCACGGCAGGGGAGACACTGTGCACGTGCGTGCGTGCGTGTCAAAGATCCCTCTCGTATAGCAGTCTGATCCGCGCCGTATTTGACCGACCGGCACTGGATCAGATCTTGAAGTCTATGAAGTTAGAAGCCAGCAGCTACTGTATAACCCCCTGCAACTGACGTACCCCACTGGAGCTCAGCAGGTGTGAGCCTGGCCAGTACCTGGATGGGAGATGGGTGCTCACCCTGCAGTCTGTGTGGGCAAATTTCCCCCCCCTGGCCTTTACCCCCTCATGGCCTCCTAATAACCCCCCCTCTCTGAACTGGCTCCATCCCTCTGCTCTCCTCCCCACTGAGAGCTGGTGTGTGTGAGAGGACTGGAGCATCATCCAGGTGGGGCTGCACACTGGTGGGGGTAGTGGGATTCCCCCTGACCTGGGATGAGTGGAGGGTCCAGACAGGGGCTATAGAGGTGTAGGGAATAATGATATTATTATTATTATTAGAAGTCACCGTGTCTCTCGTCGGCACGATCAAGGGGCCTGTTCCGGAGGTGATACTCTCTCAGGTGTTCTCAGTCTCGCATACAACAGGGGGTCTGTCTGAAAGGCACTCAGGCCAGGTCTCCTACCTTGCTGACGATGAAGAGGTCCTCTCTCTTCACCACGCCCTCCTGGATCTTCTGCTGAACGGCCTCCCCCACCTCGCCCTCGTTCTCGTACACCCTGGCGCAGTCAATGTGCCGGTAGCCGGCGTCGATGGCGGTCTTCACCGCCTGGGCCACCTCGCCCGGCTTGGCCTAGCCACAGGAGAACGTGCCGTTAAATCTGACCCCCCCCCTTGGTGCAGTCCCAGCTCCGGATACGCTCCCGGTCTGACCAGCGCCAGGTCGGATCTTGCGCTCCTTGAGCCCGTCCCGGCTAATTTCATTACCCAGCGCCCCTGCGCCTATACCTGCAGGCTGGGCTAGACCCTACAGTACAGGACGGCACCCACTCACAAGGCACACAGGGAGTATGTCTTCAACAAGGTGGGAAGAAAGCCAGGAGAACGTGCACGCTCCACACAGAAGGATCCCCCTTCGAAGCCAGACACCCCCCCGACCCAAATGAGCTTTTGAGGCAACGGTCACGTGCGACAGTGGCACCCAGCCCAAAATATTGGCCTCGACCGAGCTGCCGGGTGTTTGACTTTATCATCTCAGCAGTTCGTGGGATTAAGAGAAGGCGTTCAGACCACAACCCATTGTCGTACCGGCCCTAAAATGTCTACTGTGTTAGTGCTGAATAGTGTGCGTTTCTGTGCGGGGGGGGGGGTGTGGGGAGGGGGCTGTTTTCAACCCAGAGAGAAAGAAAACACGCGGGTGGGGCCGAGCCCCGGAGCGCTGTTCACGCCGACAGCGATTTGCAGACTCTATACATCTGCCACCCCTGACGCGCCCCGAACTCGAAACGGTACAGCTGCTCGGACGTTTTGGGAACGTTGCCGGGAACCTTCCCAGTACCATACAGCTATGCCACCACCACCACCCCCTCCTAGCACCCGCCTGTCAAGAAACTTCATGCACGAGTGACTTAACAGCAGTCGACAAAAAAAAAACGCACACGTCAAACCGAGATCACCTGACACAAGCGGAACTTTAATGACCCACATACACGCAGGAGCAGATGCGATTTTATTTCATTTTATTTTTTAAGGTCAACGCACATGCATGCTTGCTTATGCAACAAAAAGTCCTCGGCTCGAACACCCTCCTACCTTCCAAGTCCCCAGCCCCAGAATGGGCATCTTCGCACCCGTGTTCAGCTCCACGCAGGTCGCCATCGTTGCAGGCAGCGAGATCTAGAGCTCCGATTTGCCGGCGAGCAGCTTTGCGCCGCTTTTCCTCTCCCCCACAAATGGCCAGGCTGCACCGGGGAACTGCCGACGATCTCTGCACCCTGTGCCGAAGTGGAACCCGTCCGATAAGCTTTTCTGATGAGAGGCGGGGCGGATTGGTACTCTCGTATGACGGTGTGCCCTCAGGGCCAAACCACGCGTGGAAAAACGGCGAAGGTCGTCGCCGCCCCCCCGCCCTTAACGAGAAATGAAGTTATGTGGGTCCCCCCCCCCAGAAATAAATAAAAAAAAACAAACAGAAGACGATACACAACAGTACTGAGCAGAAACAGCGGTCCAAGCTAAAAAAACAAAACGAAGAACGGAAGATGACCCTTTTCGCACAAATTGATCAAGTAGGGTGACTATATTTTGGTTTTCAAAAAAGAGCACGGTGGGGGTAATCTTTATTACTTTTTCTAATAAAAAAAATCAGTTTAAACTCTCTAAACCCCATTACTCAAATCTCGAAGAAAAAAAACTACACCCTTGAGCAATGGACTCAAAAAAAAAAAAAACAGGTGAACTTAGGTGCTCCTAATTTGACTGATAAAGTTTACTCCCCAATCCTTTGTATTGTTCTTGCGAAGGGTATGTAAGCAGGCATGAGGTGCAACTCGGTAACCCCTCTTAACTTCATGTTCACCTGGTTGGTTTTAAATTGAGGGGTGCATGACCCCCAACTGTATCGAATAATAAAAAGGGACTGGCTGAAGTTCGGGGTGGCGTTCGTGTAGAAAACAGATCAGGGGGCTTCGGTACAAAGCTGGCTCCTGTCGGAACCTGTACTGGGGAATTTCTTCCCATTTGAAGAGTTCTTGGGGGCCCCCAGCCCCCAAAATTTAAGATCGGGTGGTTTGGGGGCCAGATGGGTATTTAACCCTGACATCTCCTAGTGGGATTAATTTGAGTAGAACACCAGCTTTTTCCAGATCGGCAGGTGGTGGTGGCGGCGGCGGCATCTTTAAGAGCATCTGAACCAATCATGATTGGCTGAAGGAGCTGAACCATTTTCCATCTAGATGGAGAAGACCGCAAAAGGGACCCCGAAACCCCTGTGCAACATTCTTTACACAAAGGGTGGGGGGAGCATGGAACAAGCTGCCCAGCCAGGCGCTCGAAAGAAGCCAGCGTATCCGTTTCAAGAGATCGCTGGATGAGATCTTCAGATCCAGGGCCTAACTCCTACTGTATAACAACAGAAGGTCAGAGATGGAAACGCTCAACCACACCCTAAACTCCAGGACACAGGGTACAGCACACGAGAGGGCTGCTTGAAACCCAGTTTTATTTCGACGAGCACAGAAGCATTTCCACAACGGCGCTTTTCACCCAGGACGGTTTCTATGCCGATACGTGCTTTGCAGGGAAGCTGTAAACAAGTGACACTTTAAATGAGGTGCTACTGAAATTCCTCTCCCCTTGTGCAATTTGACATCACGGCCTCCCTCACATGACTCCCTAGTCAGGGGTCAAAAGCAGCATGAAATGAGCTTTCCTCGCAACCAGAGAGAAACGCGCAATACTCCAGTCTCCTTCAACACTGCGAAATACAGCCCGATCATTATGCCTGCAGGAAAAGCAATCGGTCTCCAAGCCCCAGAACGCAGGGTCTCGCGGAGAAGAGGCCCTGCATTGTCACAGCTCAGTACTCCGCGTTGAATGGATAGTCCTTGTGATTCACACCCCTGGAAACAAAACAGAAAGCAGGATGAGGCCGGCGCCGGGCTGATTCTAGAGAGCTTTCAGCTGTGACCGAAACGTCACATCAAGCGTGGGTGGAACAGGATATGGGGCGATCCTGAAAACAGGACCAAAGGAATAAATCCTCTTGCCCATCTCGTATAAACTGCTTGGCCACCCATTTCCTCCAGCATCTGGTAGCCGAGTTAGTTCATCCCCTAGAAACCCTGAACGCATACTGTAGTTCTCTACACAGAGCCACCATCCCCATTAATTCGTCACTAAAACCTTTAAGATCCCACATTAAGATCAGATTGATCCCCCAGTTTAACAGGCCTTTTATACCAGCAGTAGCTAATCCCTGGATGTGGGAGGAGTCCATAAGCCTGAAGATTTGGGACACTAAACCCCTTTTCCCCCCACATACCAGTGCAACGGACAGGCCCTCCAGTTCCGGTTGAAGCTCAGGATGGTCTTCATGTCCCCCTCGGCGAGCTCGAAATCAAAGACCTGCCGCAGCAGAGGAAGAATTCAAAATCGCGCTCCCCGCGGGACAGGTCCCAACAGTGGGACTTGGGAGCGTGCTGCTACTCCTCCTGACGGCTCTGAAGGCCTCTGGTCTAGTTTCCTCGCGTTCATTCGCGCGCGAGTCCTACATCTGTGATGCAAATGTCTGCTGGTTATAGAACTCTGTTCGTCTGGCAGACGGATAAGGCTAGATGCACACCGGTGTGACGTTACGGGTCGTTCAAATCCACTGCAAAAAAAGCTTAGCGAATTTATTTTGTCCTCGTCCGTGACATAACGAAAATAACATTTCACCAGAATTCTCTACTTTCGCTCAGTTCTGCCATTAACCCCTGAATAATGCTCTGACTATCTCTAGGATAAATCAATACTTCCGATAACTTGCTCTTCCACCCAACAGCCCCTCTTGTTCAGAGGTAAGGAGCTGTTTCCTGCTTTAATCCATAGCCGTCTGCGCCCAAGATTCCCAGGTGGCTGTGGGTTACAGGTGGGCATGGATACCTGGACCTGATGCCCCACTAAATACGGGATGTGGGAGCCCTCTTTTTCCCCCCCAGTAGTCAGGAGTGGGGTTGGTGTATTGCACCAGATTTGCTGGTCCTGCCCCCCCATCAGGGATCCCAACCACTGTTTGAGCCTCATGAACAAGAAAAACCCGATTAGGCTCTATGGTACAACCAGGGTGTCAAAACGACAGCCACTCGGCAGATCACAGGATTGACAACACGGGCCCCTCTTCCCCTCCACCCACGGGAGGTGGGGGTGGCGAGTCCAGGTAACCAGGAGCAACAGATCGAAAACTAAAAGAAAAATACCTCCGATATTCCTGCCCCACAGCATCTTAAGACCCGGCTTTTCCACCTCGCTTTCTCATCCTCACAGCCTTATCGGCATCATTACCTGGAAATTCTGCCGGATGCGCTCCGTGTTGCTGGACTTGGGGATAAGGGCGACGTTCCTCTGGATGAGGAAGCGGATCAGCACCTGAGGAGACCAAAACGGAAACAATCTGGGACTCCTTCTCAAGCAACTGTTAAGGGTTATGCTCAACCCCCCAACACATCAACATTAATAATTCCTTGCACTTATAAAGCCCCTGTCTGGACCCTCCACTCCGAGGTCCTTCCAGGTCAGGGGGAATCCCACTACCCCCACCAGTGTGCAGCCCCACCTGGATGATGCTCCAGTCCTCTCCCACACACCAGCTCTCAGTGGGGAGGAGAGCAGAGGGATGGAGCCAGTTCAGAGAGGGAGATTGTTAGGAGGCCATGATGGGTAAAGGCCAGGGGGGAAATTTGGCCGGGACACCGGGGTAACACCCCTACTCTTTTCAAGAAATGCCCTGGGATTTTTAATGACCACAAATTTCCTGGTGATTACCTCCATAGTGACTGGCCAATCAGTCCAGTGCTGTCCAGTCCTACAGTAAGACACAGTCCTAAGGTGGAGGTAGCCCACAGCTCTTGACACCAGCGAGCCTGGATCTCTCACCAGACGTACCCCGAGCTGCACAAAGGCATCGCAACTTCCAAACGTGTTCTCCCTTGCTTTTCCCCACCGGCCCCCGAACTCCCAACAGTCCAATTTCCGTCAACGCTCGGGAAACGTTTGCCTTCACCTGAGCAGTGGTCTTCTTGTGCTTCTCCGCGATGACCTGCAGCTTTGGATCCTGCAGCAGAGAGGGGTCATCTGGCTTCGCCCTGGGGGGAAACCCAAACGCAGATCACGGTCGACACGCAGGGCTTTACGAAGCCTCTGTATTTATATATTTTTTAAAAAGCGATTCAGCTCCTTTCTTTCAGTGCACTGGACATAACGCACCAAATGTGGAACAAAAAAGTGAAAGCAACTGTAATGAAAAAATTCTAGAAATCTCAGTGGCAGATTACCAAGATATTGGGTTTTGCACCGGATAGAAACAAGAAACCACAGTCAGACAATGCAATTGTATTCGCTTTCTCATTAGCAATTGGTAAATAAGGTTAAAGGATTTCATCCAAGCCCTACGGCACAGTACACAAAAGCCATCACCCTGGATGAAACGCAATTACACAAGGACCACATGAGCAAGTGACAGGAGTAGAATCGACGGCCACTGAAGGCTCATGTTCTGCTCCGAACAATGAATACCATTATTTCCCAAAACGGTTCCCTTGGAAACCGCATGTGCAAACTGTTCTAGGGTGAATTTGAGAGCCGAGGGGCGGACGCGAGGATGATCTAGATACCCCGCGGTCTGGATAGAATAAAACCCCAGAGCGCACTCTGAGAAGCGCAGCAAGGCAGCTCGTTTTAATTGAAGAGCAGGTGCTCCCACATTCAAAACTGCATAAAGGAGTCTAGGGTTATACGTGAAGTAATTGGGTGTACATTTCTGTGATGGAGGTATTGTACACTAGAAAAAGGCTTACTGGTTTCCAGTCTACATCCCCCCCCCCCCCCCATTTAAAAGAATCGATATGGCCTAGCATAGCAGGCATGGAGCATCCCCCACAACGAAATACACCTGGCACCCCTGTTCGAGATCGGCCTGCATGTGCCCAGCGTAAGAAGGCCCAATCCGATGATGCCCAGGGCCGGATTGTGGTGTCCGTAGGCCCCCGGGCACTTCCACTCCACCATGCGCAGAAAGAGGGGGACATGCCAGTTGAACGGCGTCGATGGACGTGACGCACTTCGAACTGTGCCAAACCGCGCGACTGACGGAGCCGAGCGACTGTCACTTCGACACTCCTAGTCTCTAGAACAGCGTCTGATCGTTGATCTGGAGCACCTGGAGTCCATCGCAGGCCTGTTGTTCCAGCTCGTTTCTCGTCAGTCACTCGTGTTTCCCTCCTGCGTGGGCCCTGGGCACTATGCCTGCAGAGCCTCATGGGAAATCTGGTTAAAATGCGCTTTACCAGGGGTATTCGGGATCACTGGCAAAACGGCACGGAGGAGCTCACCATGGTCTAGCAGGCGAGCCCAGGGGGCTGTACGCGGTCACAGTGATGCCCTTGGAGTGGCAGTAGCCAATCAGCTTCTCCTGAGTCAGGTAGGGGTGGGACTCGATCTGCAGAACAGGAAACATGTGATCTGTTAGATACCGTGTTGGGGAGGGGAACACATGTGCATATAGATGGTTCCCAGCTGCTTCAGTCTCCTAGGCGGTGTGGTGGCTCTGTGGCTCAGGACCTGCGCCTGTGGCTGGGAGGTTGCCGGTTCGAATCCCACGGCAAAGCAGAGGAATCCTACTCCGTTGGGGCCCCTGAGCGAGGCCCTTCACCCTAGCTACTCCAGGGGCGCCATATAAATGGCCGACCCTGCGCTCTGACCCCCAGCTTCTCTCTCCCTGTCTGTGTGTCTCCTGGAGAGCAAGCTGGGGTCTGAGAAAAGAGATTCCTCATGCAAGACATTGTATCTGGCCAATAAAAGTGACTTTATAGTGATCTTATCTCCCCAGCTTGTGATTCAGCAAAACACAAGAGCTCTGAATCCTCGGGCTAAACGCGTACTCCTGTCGCCAATTTCCCCGATTCTGAACGTGCACCGGTCCCCATTTGCTGCTGGGATACCCCAATCCATGTTTAGCGAGGGAGGTGGCACACAAAGCTACAGTTTTATCGAGCTTGAGTAGAGCACTGCGCAAGAATGTGAAGGAGCAGCCCACGGTCCATCCCACACTGAAAATAAGGAAACGTTTCACCCCATATTTTCAGCACAGAATCACCCTTTATGTTTCTATTAAAAGCACTTCTCTATTCCAAGGGCAGAATACTGTAACGCAACGGGGGTTCAGGCGGGCGCCCTTGCCGCATTAGGTCGGCCCCCCACAGTCCGGGGCTCGAACCCGGGACTCCCACGTCACTCTGCAGCGACCCAGCCCGGTGAGCCAAAGAGAGATCTCTCCACAGCCCAGTAGCTATAGTCCTCCTATCACAGGGAAGGGCGGTGACGTCACCTGCTCTGGTACGCCGGCTCTTACACAGTGCCTGTCGGCCGTAAGCGTTACAATACTATGGCTTCCACACATTCTGTGCACGTCAGTGGAGTTGTTGCACACCGTCAGTTTGTCTTTGACAGATCTGGGCTTGCCTTCTCAACTGAACCGAATAAATTCGCAAAACTTGCTCTTCATAATGCTTGGTTATTCCCTGCCTGTTGTCTGTTATAACACGCTGCGCGCCGCCAGAATGGAGAGCCCCAGACCCCAGAACAGGACTCCTACCTGGTTGTTGGCGGGTTTGTACTTTAAGCCGGGCTTGTTCAGCAACCTCTCGATCTGATCGTGGTTGAAGTTGGACACTCCGATGGCCTTCGCCAGGCCAGCGTCCACCAGCTCCTCCATGCCCTGAGGACACAGACTCCGGGGTGATGCTCTTCCTCAGACAGTTGGAGCAGAGTTTGAACCCCAAAACCACAATTAGCATCAGCTTGGTACGTCGCATTTGGTTATGGCCGAACTGTACCATCTCTAGTCTACACCCCTCCCAGTGTCCCAGTCCTCTGACGGACTGTACCATCTCTAGTCTACACCCCTCCCAGTGTCCCAGTCCTCTGACGGACTGTACCATCTCTAGTCTATATCCCTCCTTCAGACAGCGCTTGGCTCCCGTTTCTGCTCCGAGCACAATCTCACCTCCCAGGTGTCCAAGAAGTCAGTGTTGTCCGGCAGGGCTAATCCGTTCTCATCCAGAGGTAAAAGCTCACCCCCCGACTACGACAAAAAGCAAAATGGAGTCGCCGAGCAGACTTAAACCGAACCGAAAGCAGCTCTAGCAATTGCAGAAATGACAAAGTAAGTCACATTTTAGTGCACACATTCCTCAGGCTATGTTTTGTATAAAAGAAAGAAGGTTTTGCAGATATCACTTGATGCCACAATCCTTTTGGGACCGGTTCTGCATGTGTGGAGCCAGCCTGGCTGTAGATCACCTTGAAGCCCATGGGCCAGTGAACCAGGTACAGGTCCAGGTAGGCGAGCTTCAGGTCGGCCAGCGTTTTCTGACAGCCCTCCTTCACCAGCTGCTTCTCGTGGAAGGTGCACCAGAGCTGTGAGGAGGAGACAGGGAGCATGTCAGAGGGGCCCCCAGCTGGCCTGTCGGATCACACAGGGAGAGATCAGCCCGATACAGGAAGGACCGCACCAACCGGTCCTGCTATCTGGACCACATTGGACATGTGGAGGAGGGGTTGGGAGGCAAGAATGTCACAATCGGTCACTTTTCTGGGGGTTCTCAAAGAGGGCAGCCCCCACTGGAGCTCAGCAGGTGTGAGCCTGGCCAGTACCTGGAGGGGGAGACTCCTGGGAAAGCTGAGGCTGCTGCTGGGAGAGGTGTGAGTGGGGGCCAGCAGGGGGCGCTCACCCTGCGGTCTGTGTGGGTCCTCATGCCCCAGTATAGTGACGAGGACGCTAGACTGTAACCAGGCGCCGTCCTTCAGATGAGATGTAAAACCGAGGTCCTGACTCTCGGTGGTCATTAATCTCAGGGGGTTCCTCGACAAGAGTAGGGGTGTTACCCCAGTGTCCTGGCCAAATTTCCCCCCCTGGCCTTTACCCCTCATGGCCTCCTAATAACCCCCCTCTCTGAACTGGCTCCATCCCTCTGCTCTCCTCCCCACTGAGAGCTGGTGTGTGGGGAGCGTTCTGGCGCACTATGGCTGCCGTCGCATCATCCAGGTGGGGGCTGCACACTGGTGGGGGCAGTGGGATTCCCCCTGACCTGGGAAGAGCTCCGAGTGGAGGGTCCAGAAAAGCACCATATAATTTTAAGAAATAAATTTAATATTAAGTAGGGCCATGTTGTTTCAATGCCATAATAGTGCAGAGATAAGGCAAAGACAATATCGCAGTTCGGCCAAGTTCTAAGTTTTAAAACTTGTGATGGAAAAAGGCCTTTTCCAGAGAACACTGAAGATGCACAGAATGCATCCCCTGTGGTGCTCCGAATCCAAGCAGTTCTGCAAGATTTATTGTCCAGGTGTAGCACTGGTCACCCACATCACCTCATTACTACCATGAGTGGGTGTTCAGAAGTGACCGTTGTGTGTGCATCAGGATCTGCACAAGATACTTCCACACACAATGGCCGTTTCTGACAAGGCCATCCCCCCTCTTCCAGGTGTTGTCAGTCTCACATACAACAGGGGTTCTGTCTAAAAGGCACTCAGGCCAGGTCTCCTACCTTGCTGACGATGAAGAGGTCCTCTCTCCTCACCACGCCCTCCTGGATCTTCTGCTGAACGGCCTCCCCCACCTCGCCCTCGTTCTCGTAAAACAGGGCGCAGTCGATATGGCGGTACCCAGCGTCGATGGCGGTCTTCACCGCCTGGGCCACCTCGCCCGGATCGGCCTAGCCACAGGAGAACGTGCCGTTAAATCTGACCCCCCCTTGGCGCAGTCCCAGCTGGGGACACGGATCCCCTTGGACAGCAGCCCGGTCCGATCCGGGTTTGACCTGCTGCCCGAGCCAGCGCCAGGTCGGATCCTGGGCTTTGAGTGCACGCATGAGCCCGTCAAAGTCTGTTACTTCAGCAGGACGATTTCTAGTGCACACGTAGCGGAGCTGCTGTAGTTTGGGCACGGTGACGTCATCCCCCTCCCTCTGGAAACCAGCGCTGCGTGAGAGAGAGGCCTCGGCTTTCCTGGCCACCAGAAGCTCATCTTGTACAGGAGTGTTATCTCAAGGAGAGGGGTATCAAGGACCTACCCAATCGTTCCAAGACGGGTCAATTAGAACAGGGAGAAGGAGAATTCAAAAGGGGGAAAATAAAAACAGCAACGGAGATGAATAGGGCATTGAAAACGGCCAAAAAACGAACGGAGAATTCAGTTGATTCAATGCAACAATCCATAAAAACCCACTGCGAGATGAGTTTAAAAAGATGCAGCTCAGCTCAGCTCAGGGGTCCGATTCCTACATCCGAGCATGAGGTGCGCTAATCGATGAGCTGAACTAGCGCGTCCACGACAGACGAGCTGATCTGCAAATGATGCCCGGGGGGTTGGGTGGCTACGACTCGGACAAAAACGTTAAAAGAAGTAAGAAGAAGCACGTTTAGCCCCCGGAGCCCGATTAACGAATTACGGGCTGTGACAGTACATCGGTCGCAAGCAGCAGCAGCAGCCGTAAACGAGATGAAACTGATTAAGACCCATTTCATCTTCTAACGGATCTACAAGACTCAATTCAAGTCACAGAGCAGCCCAGGTCTAAATCCCCTCACGCCACAAGTAGTCAGGATGTCCAAGGCATTAAGACACGGAACAGCAGTTCGTAAAGGTCGCAGGCGCCCGAGTCCAGCCACGACAAGACACCCTGGACTCGACCATAAACGGCGGGCCCTCCCACTGTCCAGCGAGTCTGATCTTTCCGGGAATATAATCAGAAACGTGAAACCGGGCCCCGCCATCTGGGGGATACAGCAACGGGACAGGCATGGTCTAGCGCTCACTTGTCACAATTGCAAAATCGTCAAAATTGCAAAACAGCTGCAATTATATATATATATTTAATTCTGACATTTGTCGTCAGTCGTTTTTTGTTTTGTTTTTTTAAACCCACCCCGCTGCGTTGATCGTATGAACTGTTGTCAAAGTTCATATTCTCCTACCTTCCACGTCCCAAGACCCAGAATCGGCATCTTAGCGCCGGTATAGAGCTCTACGCACGTCGCCATTGCAAATATCTGATTTGCACCTCCAATTTGTTTCCGTTTTTTAGTTTATGAGCCTAAAACCGCCCCCCCGTCTGCTGAACTCGTGGAACCGGAGCGTGAAGGATAGGGAGTGGGGGAAAACCGGCGTGGAGATTTGATGACAACGACGGCTTCTGATTGGCAGGAATGACTGTGGCCCCTCAAGGACCGAGCGGGCCAATCGTGACGACGTAATGAGGCGTCTGACGGCCGTTCAGAAATGATTACAGGGGTACAGGGGATACCAGGAGATCTGCTGAGCGGAAACAGCCGTTCAGTGTGCAGAATCCTGCAGCCTGTCTCTTCGAAAGCACAGAAAGAAACGCTACAGGTTTCCCAAAGACTGATTAAGGCAATTAATTGGACCCATTAGCACTAATGAAGATGAATATTATTGTTATTGTTAATAATAATAATAATAATAATAATAATAATAATAATAATAATAATAATACAATCCCTTGCATTCATATAGCTCTTTTAATCCTCTTTCTTCTAACTTCTCATTGATGAAGACGAACTCTGCCGTTAATAAAACAGGCCAAATCAGTTCATCGGGATCGATTACGTTATTAACATTCAAAGAGTCAAGATGGACACCTCTTTTTAGAGCATTAGTATTGTGCACGAAATTATATCTGAAGTATTTCATCTGGGAAGAATAACACTGATAATTAAGCTGAATCTTTTTTTTCCAATACGAAATAATATCAATGTTATAGATCGTTACATTTTCTTTGTTTACCTCTTTCCTAGTTTTATGTACATGTAGTAATTACTCCCTTTAAAACTCTATAATTCTAAATCTAGTCATTGTATGAATGTTTAAAATAAACATGATTATCCAAAGCTGTTTCGTTTATTTGTATTAGCTGCGTTATCAGCCCCTGCAGAATTCTGACATTTCAGGTGTGTTATTTCCATCATGAATGATGCTTTTTCGTGCAAAGCAAACGAGCAGAGTCAGTACTGGACCCTGTACACGAGATCTGAGAGGGCTGTTGAATTCAGAGTGAACCCAGTTTGACACAGGTATTGTGATCTGTATATATATATAAACACAAAGAAAGCTGTTTGGACGGATCTGCAAAACTTCGTCTTTAAGCATTTGAATGTGAACGATAGTTTAAAGAGTTTGATATGGTGTTATACGTCGCTAGATGTGGAAAAAAGGACGTTCATTTCTAACTGATCCTTAAATAATACTGGGCAGATATCGAATTCGCGACAGACAGTGGCTTAATGCTACTTCCACCTACGATGCTTATAAGTAAATGCAATATAATAATAATAATAATAATAATAATAATAATAATAATAATATACTTTATTTTATAAAGCGCCTTTAAAGGTGGCTTCTCAAAGCGCTTAATTATATTATTAATTAATTGACAATTCAATTTATTTCTAGGTTCTGGCCTCTGTCGGCGTGCTGTTCTGTGTTTGGTTTTGTTATTTTGTTCACTTTTTGGATACCATTTCTGTTTGTATTATTTGATATTCAGTCAAGGTCTGGGGTGAAAGATGACCACCCCTCCCCCGGATTATGAATCGTCAGAGAAATGCGACGGGACGTCATAACGAGGCGCCAAGACGCTGACCTTTTTAATGTTTCGGTGGTTGCAAATACGAGCATTTTTGAATCTTCAACCGTGTTTTTTTTTCATGTTTTGCTGAGTTCATGCCGAAAGAGTCTTGTCATAGGCAGCCGGGGCATATGAAGGTGTTGGTTTTGTTTTTGTAAAGCTCCGAAGCTGAAGCCGGAAGTGGAGGCGGGCAGTCGGTGTGCTGCGGTGCTGACGGTTTTGGAGAATTTATTAGACGTAAAATCTAATTTAACACTCACGAACAGTCCGCGCAGGAGTCATGTTGCAGTTTTTGGTGAGTAGAACTTCACTTCGTGTAAACTTGACTATAAATCAGAGAGTCTTTGCGCGGCCAGTTTTCAGTTAGTTGTTCCTGATACTTTCTTTAGCTACCAACGAAAAGTTCTGATAAGTTGCATTAAATATGCTTTTTAAAAGGTTGTCTATAGAGATCTTTTTGTTCAACATAGGACTGTTTTATATGGGGAATTTTCCGTTGGTAATGCGGAATGTGTCTATAGACAAGCGACACTGCGTTACCGATGACTCGCTTTCAGTTGACCATCTATTTTTGATTCATTTAAAAAAAACGTTTGAAATCTGTGGGCTGATTCAGTTGATTTCAGTGTCGGCACTGGAACTGGCGACGGGCTGATGTCTCGCCGTTGTCTGAGAGCTTTCATTTGAGTGGTATTTTTAGGATAGTAATTTTTTTACCCGAATCGCGGTGTTATTTTCAGAAATACGCACCCATATGCGGGCGTCAGACACGCGTTGTCCATTGAAGTATCGACACAACTTCCAAAATAAATGTTCTAATCTCAGCGGTCACTCAGATTGTGTGACTTTACCTTAAAGTATCTGTGACGCTTACAACGACTGTACTAACCCGCCTGAAAGTAGAAGAGTCTTCGCCTTAAACCTGATTCTCTTCTTTTGTGTTCTGGGTTGCAGGTCGGTTTTACTCTAGGGAATGTGGTTGGGATGTACCTTGCACAGAACTACGAGGTAAGAGTGTTTTTCTGAGCTTCTTTCTTTCAGGAGAAGATATGTGGAGGGAGTTGAAGTCTTTGTTTCGGTTTTTGCTTTGATGTCCATCACCCAGCAAGCAACGGGCGCAAGGCAGGGTACACCCTGGACAGGACACCAGTCCATCACAGGATACACACACCAGGGCCAGTCCATCACAGGGCACACGCACACACCAGGGCCAGTTTTTCTAGAAGCTTATTAGCCTACCAGTATGTTTTTGGATTGTGGGAGGAATCTCGCAGGGAGGACATGCAGACTCCACACAGACAGCACCCTGGCTCCAGAATTGAACCCAGGGCCCCAGCGCTGCAAGGCAGCAGTGGTAACCACCATGTTGCCCCATACGTAGACTGGCTAGGATGAGATTTACTCTTTTCTTACAAAGATTTGGGCTTCTCTGTGTCCTCTGTTATGACACTAGGCTATCCGGTAACTGAGTCCTACACTCCTAATTTACTGCACATTTTAGTAACGTTTTCCAGTAACTGGCGGAGTGGTGGCTCTGTGGTTCAGGATCTGCGCCTGTGGCTGGGAGGTTGCCGGTTCGAATCCCACGGCCGGCAGAGGAATCCTACTCTGTGGGGCCCCTGAGCGAGGCCCTTCACCCCAGCTGCTCCAGGGGCGCTGTATAAATGGCTGACCCTGCGCTCTGACCCCCAGCTTCTCTCTCCCTGTCTGTGTGTCTCATGGAGAGCAAGTTGGGGTTTGTGCAAAGACACATTCCTAATGCAAGAAATCATATATGGCCAATAGAGTAATCTTATTGTATCTTAATTCATGCGGACATCATAAAGTTTGATTTTTAGCAATGGGATCCCATTCAGTCCAAGCCGCCCGTTAATTGTAAAGCAAATTGATCTAAATGTCTCGCTCAGGTTTTGATATACGTGGCTGGGTAGCTTGTTCCACGCTCCTGCAACTCTTAGTGTAAAAAAAAACCCTGTCCTCTGTTGTGTGTTTCACTTGCCGCTGTAGAGATCATATTCCTGAACTTCTGAAGGTACGAGGTCATTTCGTTGGGCAAGCTGAAGACAGAGGCGCACTCCCGAATAGTTCAGCGAAGAAAGTAAAGAGGTTTCGCTTCGTCTGAAGTGGACAACATATCACCTTAAATATTTCCTGTGCACATAGAAATTGGTCGTCGGTTTATGTCCCATCTGACGCTTTGTGGGATTCGCAGTGCCTCCGTGATCCCTTCTAGGCTGTTAAAAATGTGTTTCTGAGGGCCGTCGGTGGGCTTAGTCTTGCAATCAAGTGTCCCTACTGTGTGTGCAGCGTCTTGTCGCGTTTTGAAGATGCCAGACCCAAGGCTGGTGTCAGCTCTGTGCTCTGCTGTCCCAGGTCCCTAACGTCGCCAAGAAGATCGAGCAGTTCAAGAGAGACGTAGAAGCCAAGAAGAAGCCCAAAGAGCCATGAGCAAAGAGAGGAAGCCCGACTGGAGCTCGGGACAGAGTGGGGGTGGAGAGCAGCAGAGGGGCGTCATCTGGGCGAAAGCAAAACAGCACCTCAAATATTTCCCGTGTGTGTGTAGAAATCAGTTGTCAGCTATTGCCCCCACCCGGCATTAATTTTGGACCCTTTCAACCCATGGTAAAATGAAACGGACGACGTGTTAAAAAGGCGTCGGGGAGGAAAAAATACTTTTTTTTGTAGAAGGCTATACAGGACCAGTCCCGTCACCCTTCGATTGAACGCGGCTCGCCGGCAGAGCTTCGTATATTCAGAGCACATAGAAATTGGTTGTCGGTTTATGTCCCATCTGATGCTTTGTGGGAATCGCAGTGCCTCCCTGATCCCTTCTAGGCTGTGAAAAATGTGTTTCTGTGGGCTGTCGGTGGGCTTGGTCTTGTACACCCGCGGGCGAGGAGAATCACTTTTGCGCAGGGCGGTCGTGTGCCACCTACAGACCGATGGATGCAGAAACGTCAGCAGTATTCCTTCTGGTTGAGTGCCGGATCTGCCCCAGCCTGCTGAATGTTTGCCGTGGCAGATTGTGGAGTGCCAGGCGGACAGTTGGCACAAGCCATGGGTGAAGACACTTGCAACAGGCTGAGGCTGAATTGGATAGCACCGCCGTGCAGGGTGGCTGTGGTCGGCCGTGGTCTCTCGACGTTGGCACCGCTGAAATGAGTAGGTTTCGGGGTTTTGAGAATTAGTTCTAAGAGGAGCCGGAAATGGCCACCCTTTTCTGTTCAGGAGCAGGGCGGGGTGACTCTGGCGAGATCTGGGGGGGGGCGGGGGGGCGATAAAAGCGAATCAGATTGAAATTCCAGACAATCGGTGAAGTTAATGCTTCACGTCTTTCACACGTGTTTAGAGAGGTGCTGTCCATTCAGTGTTCTCCAGACTTTCTTCCGGAAGCGTAATGAGCTGTTCATGTTCTTGGCATAATAAAGCTGGATTTTCAAGCGTTTTGTGTTTTTTTT